GCCGGGAGAATTGAGGCTGAAGGAAGGGGCGCTTGTGCGGCGAGGCGCCGGGCGGGGCGCTGTTCCGCCTCTCGCTCGGGCGAGCCGTAAGACAGCGGCCGCCGGAGGTGGGGCGGAGGGGGGGGCGTCCCAGCAGGGAGCAAAGGGACCTTGGCGTCGCGCCTCTCTCGCTCGCTTCTTTGTCGTCCAGGAGTAACTCTCTCGCTTTGGGCTCGCCAAGACTCCCAAGTTTGCATTGGCAGCAGAGATGGGGTTAACGGGCTCACTAGCAGTCCTTATAGTCCCAGCAACCAGTGAGCCAATCGAAAGTGATCGGGCTGATGTCACTAGCATCGACTCCGCCAATCAAAAATACATTCCGAGTAGTTTTCGCTGGTATGGGGACTAGTTAGGAAAGAGTGTTTCCAGGAGTGAAGTGTAAACTTTGGGAAAGGAGAGTAGAGGATAATGATGATTTAATTTGGTTTGAATCATTGCTGACCAACTTGTTGTCTAAGGAGTGCCAGGTGGCTTATAACAAACAGACGTTTCACAGTGTGAAACATTACTTTTTTGCACCATAAAACACAAAGGCGTAGAGCAGAGAAGTGATAAAGCATCAAACTGATCTCTTTGGAACGACCTTCTTAGATATGCTTCTAGGAAAGACTGAAAGCCCTGTACCATTAATTCCCATTCTCTACAAACACACTGCAGATACCGATATAGATACAACACTGAGATGCCCACCACAATCAATCAATGAGGGTGCACACTCCAATTCCCTCTGTAGGTCGTTATCAAGGCAACCAAGGCCTTGTCAGTCCCCTGAACCAGGCAAAAAGGCAGACTGAAATGGATCTGGATAATCTATTTCATCCAGAAATGCAAAAGTAAAAAGGTATGAAACATAAAGCTAGGTGCTGAGAAGCTACTTCAAGATCCCCTCTTGAAAAAGGAAACAGAACATCAGTCAAAAATTCACCCTAGAGTTACAAAATGAGTCCACCTATGGCAGTGGTGATGGCACAGGTTAAGGGCTCCTCTTGCCAGACGCATCGGTGTCAGTTCGTATTTCTCACAAGATTAGTTTGTATGATGGAGTAATCTTCAAAAGGCAATAGAAAACAAATGGATCTATCAGTCTTATAGCCTGGATCATCCTTACAGTCCCCCTACCAGTGGGGAGGTTTGAGACACAGCTAGGCCGGAACTTAATCGAATAGTGATAGGTTCCTGTCAGTGGAGGTATATCAAGGTCCCTCCCTCACAGTTCACTCTTATCCCACCACAAGGGAAGACAAAACCAAAGCAAAGCAAACCCAGGTCCTATTTGTGTTCACTCCCTGAGTATCCACAGCAAAACCTACAAAGCTTACTTGAATAAAAAAAAATATTTACTTTATATTGTATATTGTGCAGTGATTATACTCAGGGCATCTTGTTGTACTATGGAAATATATATTGCCTATCTTGAAAGAGTTACTGAACAGAATTACTTGAAATGTTATGCAATAGCTACAACAGAACATTTGAAGTTGGAAGTAGAGAAGATGGCATAGGAAAGGAAGATTTGTTGAGTTTGCTATTGTTAATGTGAATGATAGCTAACAAAGTATAAGAGCAGTTTGTTGTTTGAAGCAATTTGCAGTATAATATTCACAACACAATATAAGTGGGGTGGAATAAGGAATTATCTGAGAACTAATAAGAAAAGTGGGAAATACATTTGTCTGAGGCTGTGAAAGGAAATTGATTTTCAGCTGAAAGTTCACATTTTTTTTATGAACAAGTACTGTACTTTCTCAGTACATTATATAGCTAGGTATTCCCTCTCCCCACCCCACCCCTACAGAATCTATTTAGGACAGCATTTGTATTCTAATCCACACTGGAAGCAAAGTAGCTGTCTGTATTCAATTGCAACATTATAGGCACCTCTGCTACTAAAACTTCTTACCTAACTTGTTTGTCAATGCTGTTTTGTAAAAAAAAAGGTGAGTAGATATAACTCACATTCTCTTTGAAACTGTCCTTTTAAAGATAGTCAGCTCAGCAGACTAATAACTGGGAAGACTGGGCCATGATTGTGAAGCCAGGCCTTCCATAGAATCAAAAAAAAGGGGAACAGAAATACAAAAGGTACAAAGACTGATGGTTATCTTAACATTGGTTATTTAGTAAGCAGTGACTGGAAGAAG